TGCAATTGGCACAGGAGCACAAGAAGGACTACATATAGCAAACTTTATCAAGGAAGCCACAACAACAAAGGTGAACATTCGCATACACACAGACGGCACAAGCGGCAAAAGCATTGCAACAAGAATTGGCTCGTCAAAGAAAGCAAAGCACATTGACCTGAAGTACCTCTTCATACAACAACTGGTACAAAGCGGGGTACTGTCAATACACAAGATCAGCACACACGACAACCCAGCAGACATACTGACAAAGTATGTCCCGGCAGAGGTGCTTAACAAACACCTCTACATGGCGGGCATTCAATGCCCACAACACCACAACTGAACTGCGATCGCACAAACAGTTTCACAACTATGGCAGCGTCCACGCGTGTACAATACATACACGGCGGCATCAAGCCATGGCACACTACTTTAGCTACTATGCGCATACTATGTCATAGACAATATGTGTATACAAGATTTCAGTCTGACAATGGATCCAATCTTTCTGTCGTCGACTCGTAGAACAGTGTGTTTGAAGTTTTGCTTTCTGAATTTGGAAGACAATGCATGTTCAGTTGACAATTTGTCAACAATCCTTTTGACCGCAGCCGCTTCCCGGCACACGAGCGCTGACGATCGGGATCGACTTTCTCGAGAACAATTTCAAGGGCAACAATGGCCATGGAGATGACGATTCCGGACTACCACAATCAGCGTCGACTTCCCACAAACTCGACAATCTCCTTGTGGGAGGACCGAGCAGTCCTATACAATGAGAACAATATGGAAAGGTCAGAAGATGAAGAAGAGGAGAAAGGGCACAAAACGCCCTCGACAATCGACCAGCGATCAGATGGAAGAGTCGCAAGAGTAGAACAATGGCTCTACAAACTGCAAGTCTCTGGCAACAATGTCCACGAGCACCACGATGAGAAGGGCAACAATGCTGGAGAGACAATGGCAGAAAAGCTGTACAGACTTGCTAACAATGTTTGAACTGCTTTGTACAATAATGTTTCTTTACTGTTTCAACAATGTTTATGGTGATGGTGTGATTCAACAATGAATCAAACCAAGGGACGGTGCTAAGAGACAAGCTTTCTCACAATAGCTTACTTACTCCATCGTAGTGTTGATGTACAATTGCATGGTGCTATACAACGCACCTTTGGATCAAAGGCCTTGAGCTTAGCTTGAGCCTAAGGACAATTGCCAGAGGAAAACAATACAGAGACGTGCACAAACAAACGACAAACAAACAGCTGCTGAATTTTACAAAAAAGAGGGAGAGAGAGAGAGAGAGAGGGAGAGAGAGAGAGAGAGAGAACGAGGGAAAGGAGAAAAGGAAAAAAAGGAAAGGGCGAACGCCGGTGTTCCAAGCGTCCAGTGGACACACCAAGGAGAGGGGTATACCTGAGTGCTAAAACGGCAAAGAGAGAAGAAGGGGAGGGTAGGGGGAGGATGGGGACTAAGGTCCCGACAGACTCCAACGAGTCTTGAAAAACTTCGGCCGCTGCGGCCACGTACGCCGTGCCAAATGGCTGGCTGCTTTGACCGCTGTGGTCACGTAAAGGCATGAGCCAGCTTGGAATTCAATAATTCAGCAAGTCTTGGCAAATAACTTTGGCCTGAGCCTATTTTGTCCGCTGCGGACTGCTTTGTATTGGGGCAGAGGATATGTTCGACAAACCCCCGTTCAACGGGTCAACAGGGGCCACTCTGCGGGGTCACCCTGGGCTCTCACGAGGAGAGACACACTTATAGAAATGCGTACTGACTTGAAAGCGGTTGCCACACGCCGGCCTAAGCGAAAACCTAAGAAAACCAGGACAGGTAAAAGTACGGCGTTCCAAACCATTTCAAATCGACAAATCCAAAGCGACACTGCACATCTGCCGATGATGAACCGATGCAAAGGCTGGACGTCTTGTTCTAGCTACAAGCAGGGCCCGCGATGAAATTTCGCAAATAAAACTGCAGGTACGTCTGGCTGATCAGGCCAGATATCAGCACGGAACTTGACCCTCTTCGCTGGATCACCAGTCAAGTCCGTGGGTGATCCCCCTACCAAATTCAAGAAAACAATCCAAAGGGAACCTCGTGACTCCAGAGGGGACACACACACACACACTTGAGAAGAGTGCTCCGTAGAGCGGAGTTTCATAAATTCGCAGTGAACACTAGCCTTTAACTCACTGTACTAGCCGAAAGCATTTGCACTTTACAGCGAAACAACGTATGAGACAGCGTTGAACTTACGTAGAATCATTCAGAAATTCGCAGTGCACATTAGCCCTTTAATTTACTGTACTAGCTGAATGCATTAGCACTTTACAGCGAAACAACGTATAAGACAGCGGTGAATTTACGTAGAATCACAAAGGAATGTTAAAGTTTGCAGGTACGTCGGAGTGATCAGCTCCGATATCCTCCCAGCTCATGAGTAGCTTCGTTGGCAGTAGACTCATGAGTGGGCTACTGCCCCCTGCTGCTGTACAAATGGTGCAAAATAGAGCAAGATAGAGCAAGATAGGTTAGTGTCCCTTGGAACGGGGGTTTGCGCACTCAATGAGCCGAATCGGCGCAGCTAGCAACAGTCAATGGAAACGCTCTTTTCTGGAAGGCTGCAACACTGCAGCGCAATGTTCCTTGGGGTGACCTCACAATGAGCCATGTCGGCACAACTAGTAAAACCCTAGATGGCCGCAACGCTGTAGCACAAAGTGTGCTTGTCCTGCTTCTTGTTTCTTTATTTTCTTTTTTTTACCAGGGGTGTGGAGGGCGTGCATTGACTAAACGAACCTGGATGCCACCTAACAAGCCTGAAGATAAGAACAAGACAAACGAAAAAACAAGGACAGAAGAGAAAGGTGCAGGGGGTGCGGGGGGGGCAGGGCGTGCGTTGACTAAACGACACCTAACAAGCCTGAAAGAAAGAACAAGACAAACGAAAAGGCAAGGAAAAACAAGAAAAGGTGCAGGGGGTGCGGGGTGGTTCAACAATCCTCAAAACAACATTTGCCATCAATGTCCAGCTTAATAGGCATAAACTATCATATAAAAATACATATATATATATATATATGTGTGTGTGTGTGTGTGTCCAGTCCAGTTTCTGGTGGTTTTTGCAGCAAATCCAGTGAACTCCAGGAATTTCTGGTGCCACACGTCTCACCACCAAGGTCGGTGGTCCCTGCGTCGTGCTTTTGGGGCCCGAGCATCCCCGACCTGTCGAGGAACATGATGACCGGGGTGGCGTTAGATATTTGTATCTATTTTTGGTATATGAGGGTCGTCCAAGAACCACATAACATAATTTCCACGAAGCCTGTTGTTTACTAGTTTGTGCCTTGTGGAGTACATATGATGGTCAACCTTTACTTGGGAAGATTCATTGAAACCACTGACTAAGTCACTGACTAATATTTGTCGTTTGTGAGTTGAAACATCTGGAAACCCACTGACTAAGAACATCTCACCCCTAGAGCCCTAAAACTCCAGTCGTACTTTCTAAGAAGGTGGGACTGGGGTGGGTTTAGAGGGTGGTACTTGGAGCCCTTAGGGGAGGAGCATCATTACCAGGCCGGGGTCTGAGGCCTCATCGGAAGTCGGACGGCGCAGTCGCAACTTTGCTCTCGTTTGGAGTCGACATGGGTCACAATGGTCGCAGTAGCAACTTGACAGGTCACAAATCCAGCAGACGTTGCGGGGCAAGAATGCAATAAAATGCCAATTATTGGTTTAAACGGCTTCGGTCAGGGTTCCATGAGGTAAGCACGCCCAAATTCAAGCACCATACAATCTGCAGTGTGATGAACCCATGGCAGGTTCGAGCGATCGACTGTTTTTCTTCTCCAAAAACTTCGAATGACGATCCGCCTTAGGGGCTGCTGGCTCTTTGGCAGGTCTCAATTTGTCAGCTCGACAAGACCACAGCCAACGTCAAGCATCCCTTTGCGCATTCCTGGTTTCATGACCGTTGGCTCGCGGAACTTCACGTGTGGCGTGCGTCATGACCAATGCGTCGGTGCGTCGTTGGCCCTGCATGTGGGAGTGGAGCTGTGGTATCGTGCACGCGCTCGTAACGTCCTTGGTCCATAGATGTCTATGGCAACCCTAGGGCTCCAAGTACCTTCTAAGAGGGTGGGCTTAGAGGGTCCAAACATGTCCAAACACCTTCCCTGTGAGCTACTTGGAGCTTCAGGGTTGATCAATTGGGCGTGCCGCGTGCTGCTGCAGGCTTCATATTCAGGATCGGTGCGCGGGGCTGTCACAGAGCTGGGTTGGAGTGACTGCCAGCAGATTCTCTACGGTTGGTGGCCCACACTGCAAGGTTGTCAAGGCATGCCAGCCTGGCATCAGTAGAGCACAAACTCACAAGCCAGCGAAAGCGTGAGACGTACCTTGCTAGAAAGTGCAGTGCAGTACGTGGTCAGATTCCGCTCGATGTTCAAATGGTTGTAACTTCTATAACCGAACACGCTGACATTGTTTTACCAAGGCTTTTAAGCTACATAAGGCCAGGTCAACCATTACTTTCATGGTTCATAGTTGGACTGAAGGCCAGGGTGCTCATAACGAACTCCGTTCCAGCTGCTGGCCCTCCAGACACTGCAAACTGCGAATTGGCTAAAAACGGTCCGACCTGTGCCATCATCGCCGAACTTGAGTTTCTGGCAAGGCAGCCTTGACGAGAAACCACGGTTTCTAGGTCAATGGCTTTAATCTTTGGAACCACTGGTTACCAGCTATAATCGTGGTAACTGGAGCACCTGGGCTGTTCTGCGGATACAAAAATATTTTCGTTTTTTTTAAAGCACATCCTGTACACAACTCACACGAAGCAACGGTGTCCATTCTTTGCGAAACTTCTCAAAATTTCCCCAGTGGAAGGGCACCTCTGATAAGTGTGCCATCAACAATTCACCTATCGGGGACTGCTCGGGTTTGTGGCCTGCGCCGTTTTCGTTGTGCGTCATCCAACGTCAGCACTGTGGGGTTTTCTTCGTTCCCAGGCCCCGGCAGTGGCGACTTTGAACTGCAGCCTTACGAGGCCCACACGAAGGCGATCAAAGTGCCGTCGAACCCTGGCACCGTCGGGGCCCACATTCGTGCGACCGGTGTTTTTTTGCATGCGGAATGACCGGATACAGAACCTTTTGAGGCTGATGACATGATGACATGGCGATCAGGGGGTGATGTTGACCAGTTCAATGATCATCCGATTATCAGATTAATGATTAATGTGGTTGTTTTGGTCATGGTGAAACCCTGAGCGGGATCCAACAGGTGACTTGTTTAACCAGTGCAGGAGTCCCTCCCTGAAAACATGGGAGTGAGACCCAAAACATCCGCTCTGGTGATCAATCGCTCCATGTGAGGGTCCATTGCATTTGGGTAAGAAATATAATCAAAAATACAAACTGGGACAGTAGATCAACTGCTGTTGGCCTGGTGGAAGATGACATCGCCCATCCATGGATGTCAGGTGACTCTTTGCACAACTTGTCGTATAGTTCCTTGCTGGCAGAGAAGGGGATCTACATCCCCCTGTGATGGCAATAGGAGAGTTCACTGTTTTTGCAAATCCAGTAGGTCCAGTGCCGCAATTGACTACAGCCTCCGGTGCTTTCTGATCTTTCTTTCACCAACTGCACGACACTTCAGCCTCCCGTCTTCAGGGCCACAACCTATGGATTTGATAGATTTGATGTAGGGCCGGTCCTCTCCGGCCTAACCCGGGCCACTCCTCAACGTCGTGGACACCGAACTCACCGAACCACCGACCGCGCTGAACCTCGGCGCCGAACCTCCACTCGCGAGCCTTTTCCGCGACGGCCCAGGTCCTGCTGGTGCGCTCCGACCAGATTCGGGTTCGACACCTCTGCCGGACCCGGAGCTTCCTCTTGAGCCGCTCGATGCTCCGAGGAGAGATGTTCAACCTTCACTTGGGATGTACCATGTTAAAGCCACTGATACTGTTCGTTCGTGAGTTGAAACCATGCGCCAACCGGTTAACTTTTGGGCGTGGTCCGGGTTTTTGGGCGTGTTCCAAGCAGTTTGGGTGCCCCAATCAAAGCATGAAGGCAGCGAAGGAAGGCTGGTTTTTTTCAGGGGCTGCAGGGTGAAGCAGGTGAAGGGGGGTTTCACACTGCGAGGTGGGTGGTTGGGGTCAAGTCTCTTATGGATCAGATGTGGGTACCAGGGGCACTCAAAACCATCCAAAACCAGGTTTTCCCGAGCAAAAAAAAATGGTTTTTGTATGTGAAAACCTTTGTTTTCCCATGGTTTGGTTCGGGCTCCTGGTACTGGGTGTGTCTAGGGCCTGTGTCCCAGCAAGGCCCTCAAAGGATCACTCTTTGAGCGCGAAAGGCCCTGTAGAACGACGTTGAGTATGAAACCTGAATCCAACGACATCGAAAGGCCCTGTGTTGGTGATCCGAGGTGGGTGATCCGATCCTGTGTGGCATGTTGGTCCGGCCGAAAGACGAAACATCATCGTTTGCTACTGGTAAAGGGATATACTTGGGTCCACATTAGGAGCGGATGTGCGTATAGATCAAGATCCCCAAATCCTCACACGATGATAAACGATAAACACGTGTTGTTCTTTCAAGTTATCTTTTTGTTCTTGGCGAACAACCCACTAGGAGTAAAGATCACATGAATTCGACCTCAGACCCAAGGATTCGGGGAATCTCTCCAGAGGATTTGGGTCCATGACCCTTTGGCTGCCCTAAGGATCCGGACCCTGAAAAACAAGCTTTTTGAGAGTAGACATTTTGGGATATTTTCGGTAGTTGTAGAGGCTTCGACCCCGAAGAGGTCGGGTCCAAGGATTCTATCTAGCATGATGCTTCCAGAACGGACAAGCCAGTCAGGCTCTTCAAGTCGAAATGAATGGCCTCCACCGAAGCCGATGGATGGCCAATGGTGAATGAAATGAATGGAGACTTCTCGAAGTGGCAGGTGAATGAAATCTGTAGAGATCGATGCGACCTGTGATGCACTCATGGGCTTGTGATCTGCGAGGTCGCTGAGTCTCATACGGTGTTCAACCGGATTTTCCAGATATCCAACCCCAGACACGACCTGTCTGGGACTCGTAGGGGGTCGCCCCGTTGATCCTGACTTCAACCACCCTATTGTATGTCCCATTAGTGTCTGGGAACGATCAGGCTCAAGCAGCATTCTTAGCCTCAAAGCCGATCGATCTCAAGAAGATCTACCACCACTACCAGCCTCCTCCAACAGGTCTCCTCAGCAGGTCAAAAAAAGGTGACCTGGCATTGAGGATGCTGGCACTTGGAACTGACTTCAATTACCGTATAGAAAGTGGGACATGACCTGAACAAACAGATACGACTGTACCCGTTTTCGGAGGCACGAACTGACCCTCCAAGCTCCAGGAAATTTACATAAACCTCGGGCCGCTCAGGTTCTCAGTTCCAAGCCTCCGCCGCGACCAACGCGCGCCTGGCGCCAAACCCCTGCACTGGCAAGCTTCAGGCAGGATATGGCAGGATGATAATGAGGATGGAAGGATGTGTCCTCTTTAAGTTGTTTGTGTTTCTTTGTGTCATGAACGGCTGATGAATGATGCGATGGTGGTGCTGATGTTTTGTGATTTGGTTAAACACAATATGTTCACAAACTAACTATGTATGTCGCTATTGATTGCATAATGTGTGGCTTCGTGGTTTCTTCATGCAAGTTCTGTGATCATTATAGTAGATATATCGATTATACAAACATATGGGTGAATTCCACGTCTTCATCTCTTCAAACAGCCGTCTATAGCCCTTTGAAGCCGTTTGACGCCGTCTCGCTGACTAGCTTGTTTGGTACTTGGATGTACTTTGATGTACTTTGTGCTGGCCTGGCTCTCCTTTCCTCCACTTTGTGAGTTCATCACTGGGCAGGCCTGGCTGGATAGTCGGCTGAAGGTCTTGAAACAGCAGGACGTCTTGACCGCCGCGTGGAGCGCGTGGAGGGGCGATGGCTCCGATGCGGCGCGGGCGCGTCACCCCAGACACGACCTGTTTGGGACTGATATATTTACCATACATAAAGGGGTGGTAAGGAGGCGGTTTACCATGCTGACATATTGACCACGACCTTTGGGGTGGTTGAAAAGGAGTCAATATACATGGAGTGTTTGGGCACGTAGATGGCCAGGAGACAGAGGATCGCCGGGCAGACTTGCCACGGCATCTGCGGCTGATCATGAACCGGCAGACCTTCAAAGGGCAATACATGGCCGTTCGAGGCACTGCGTCTCGCGAAACTGGGCGCAGACCGCCGACGGGCGACGTCTCGCCGAATCCGTTGCTGTTCACGTGCTGTTTTCGGTGTGGCTTCAGGTTCTGCGGGCCTGATCCCGATCCATATCTCTGAGGAGAATATTGAAGACTTAGACTTAAACCTTTTCTTGTAGGGTCCCTTCTAAGAAGGTATGTGGAATTTTGGGGGATGGTGTCCTTCGAACTCTCCACAAGTTCGCAGCCAGTGGTCTTTTTTCGGAGGTCTCAAAACTCAAAACGTGATTATAGTACAGAAACCTTTTTCCCTATACCAGGGTCACTTCGACATAGTTTGACATCATGTTTCTGGAGTAGGTCATAACTCATAACTTAATACTCAACGATACTCAACGAGCTAAAGGCTCAAAGGACCAGCTTTTGGATCAGACTGGACCTGAAGGCGCCTAGAGAATGAGGATTCGGGGCGCTGAATCGGAGGATTCGGGGGGGCTGAATCGGTTGCGTGGTGGAATAGAAGTCTGCCGCCTTTTCTCACGAACCGCCCTTTGATCGACCTATAAAATAGGTGTCATCTCAGCCTGGCTGATCACGCGCAACAAAAATGATCTCTACTTCGAGTGACCCCCCGGGACAAGCGATTTTGAAGAACGCATTGGTGCTCTGACACATCAATTATCATAAAGGCTTGGAACTTGGAAATGTTCTGGCCTGTGTTCTGACGTCCTTGTTGGCGTGTGTTCTGAAATGGGCTCCCTTTTTTTCCACCTCGAAACATCTCGAAACCCTTTTATGATGGCACTGAAGTGGGCACTGCAGAGAACTTGCCAATCCACCATGCACTGCTGATCAAAGTCTTGAATATGAAAGCAATCTCTTTGACAGGCACCTTTTTGAGGCCACCAATGAGATATGCATGCCTTTGCAGGGAGGACAAAGCTGACACAACAAGCAGGCAGATGCAAGCATAATGGGACACTATTTTGGAAGCAGAAAGAGTGATGGCAAATGGCATGGAGGTAAGGCCCATAGAGCTTTGCTATTTTGCTAGGACATTTTTGCAAAGGCTGTTCTACTTGACCAATGAGCTAGACATCCTCCAGCACAAACAAGGCACTAGGCCAGGAGTGAATGAAAAGTGGATCACCCGCAGGGAAAGCCGAACCTTTGGGGGAATTGGGAGGGACACCGCACTACCTTAAGGATCCTTTGACTCTCCAGAACCCCTCAAACAGCTTGTTTTGAGGGTCCGGATCCTTGGGGTAGGCTATCCAAACATGAACAGGGGTGCATTTACCATGTGTAGAAACTTTCATCGTACTGACCAGAGAGTCACCGATGATGCTGTAAAATACAGCTACGACAGATGTGAACAGGTGGAAAGTTGGGATTTCGACTTGGATTGCTCTGGGGTTTAATTCATTTTCTTTTCAGTTGTACATGTGAGCTCTTTTTCTCACAGCCTGCCCAGATGACGATAGCGATACCACTCAATAGGATGTGGTTGGATGGGTCGAACAGGTTTAAAGTTTGGTTCACCCGCCTTCGTACACGAGACATCCGAGTCGAACAAAAACACGGCGACGACCCAACGAGCCCAGCGACCCAACGAGAGGCCTGGCAAGCCGTGTTGCACCATGCTGGGGTGCAGAGACCTTCTGGTGTGGCGCCTTTGAGTTGCAGGACGGAACGAATAACATGATGGGATATGAAATATGTACTGAGTATTTGGCGCATTCTGGACATCGGTCCAGTCTAATGTTGTCTACCATGGTAACATGTCAACACTGTCAAACAACGGTATCATTACCTGGAAAACCAAAGGCATATGTGTTTTATTTGTCTGGTCATTCTTATGGGAAGAAATATATCCGAAAATTTAAGGTCTTGTTTGTTTTTACCTGTAATGACCCAAACAAATGCTAAAATCAAGACAATTTGGCAGGCCTGCCTGTAGCCCAGTCCCAACATGGAACCCAATATGGCTTGCTGAGAGGCTTGCTGCAGATCCTTTACACAACAAGTGGTTGGGACTGGGGTGTTCCATCCAGACTTGTTTCTGGTTGAGACCATGTTTTTGGGCACCCGGGGATGTCGAGCAGCTCGTGCCTTCCTTTTAGGGCTTTGGGGGTCTCCTGCTTCCCCCGGGGTTTGGTTTCGGGTCTTTGAAGGCAGACCGGTTTCGGGTCTATGGAGCGGACCGGACCGCAAGGGCTGGATACCAAGGGGCTCCGAGCGCATTCAGGGTGTTCTGAACGGAGGTGTTCAGGTGAAGTCGGAGTAGGTGCCCGGTACCCCCTGTCTCATCACATCCACCGGTGGGGACGAAGCAAGGCATTCCGACGATATGCTTTAGATCTTGCTGGTTTCAGGGATCAGATCATGTCTCAAAGTACCTCGAAGGGGTAGGTACTTGTACATGTGTTTGTAGGGTCATGCCCCATTTTCTAAGGTACTTTGGAGGGTCGAATGCCGAATGGGTATCCCAGATGGTGTTTGGCAAACTCCTGACTTCCAGAAACGGTTTTCGCAGTGGGATGCCGTGGTATATGCAGTAGCAGGGTGTCAAATCGTATTTGTGTTGAAGGCCGATATGCAAAAATCCAGCAGAAGCCGTGCCAGGCCTAGGCAGGTGGGGCGTACCATTGTGCTCGTTCCCCAGGGCGACGATGCTGCTTCTCCATAGGTTTCGTTTCAAGACACCTCAAAATAGAATATCCACGCGTTGAAGGAGAAGAGCCATCACAATCCACAGATGAGAGGAAGAAGCAGCAATGACTATGGGCAAAGACTCCCCGGACGCGCTGCACCAAGGTGCCGCGAGCGGACTGGATGCCATGCTGCAGGTGCCATTGATGAGGCGTGGCCGGCACGATGCTCTGAACTCGCGGAACGTTCGCCAGACACTGAATGTGGCTGATTTCGAACTATCCGGTGGGCTCCAGCTATAGATACAATACATCACACACGCAGGACCCCACTAAGCTCGCTAAATCCTTTAGCGACGATCTGTTTGCAAGACACCAAGCAAAACGCAAAAAGTCAAACAGTGAGAAAAATCAACAAGTCAAAAAAGTAAAGGGAACGAAAGCACGCAGCGAGACTTTTTGACTTTTTGACTTTTCGAGACTTTTCAACTTTTCGAGATTTTTTGGACACCAGTCACATGCCGTGCCCTTCAACAAAAGTCTAGCAGAATTGATCCAAACGTTGCTTTTGCTCCTACAGATATATATATATAGATATATATATAGGTAGGTTGCTGTTTTCCAGACTCCAGCCGTGTCAAAGTGAGTCAGCCTCGAGCAGGAACGCCCTCAAAAAAGAGACGCCTGCCAAAAGGACCCGGGGCTTTGCCCTGGGACCGGCGGGTGACTCTTTTGATCATCGTTGCCTTTTCGTGCACTTTTCGACTTCTCACAAAAAGTTCGGAGAGCAAGGAAGCTCACACAACCCAAGCAACCACAGTAGGACCGACGAGATGGGACTGTCATATATACAGACATCGGGATCAGGGCCGAAAGCGCTGCTTCAAGTTTAGGATGTGGGGCGATCGGGTGCCATGATCTAGCCCGCTTGAGTTCTGGCAGGATTCTTTCATTGACCCTGTTTGCCTGCTTGGGCTCAAGGTTTACAGGGCAGCTCCAAGCAGAGGGAGGTTTACGGAGACTCTAGCTAAACAGTTTCAATCACACACATGCTTTGAGATATGTAGATGTGTTCATATGATCTTTATATGATCTTTATACACACAAGAATAACACAACCAAATATTTCACACAGTTGCCACACTCCTAACCTATCCTCCAAAGCTGTCGCATACATCCCTGGAATCCATGGAGAATCTAAACAGCAAACCAGAAAGTTCCTAAAATCCAGGGCTTTAAACAGCTTCATGCAAACACACACATACAGAGGCTTTGAGATATGTATACAATAGATGTATTCATGTGATCTACAGTATATCATATCAATAAAAACACAATGGCACCAAAGCCGATGCCAAAGCTGCGGACAAACAACCGGGGCGGGTCTGACGCACGCCGGCAAGCTGGAAGAAAAGCCAAGGCGATTGCTAAGGGTTGGAACATGAATGCTTCTGACAGATTCTGACAGGTTCATCTCCCAAACCAGGCAGCTGTTTACCCAGTCTAAAAGCGCCTTGACCAGTTTGTGCTCTCTGTTCTTTTGCTCTCTCCCTCTCTCTCTCTCTCTCTCTCTTTCCCTTTTGTTTCTCTCTGTTTCTTTGCCAACGTCGCTGCAGCATCAGCAGGCCATGCCACAGCATCAGCCGACCGAGCACAAGCATCACAAGGAGCAGCAGCAGCATCCCAGGCAGCAGCATCCCAGGCAGCGGCATCCCAGGCAGCAGCAGCACGAGCATCACACGAGCTCGATGAATGTTGCCTAATCAATTGCGGTGCCAATTGCCAAGCTTACCGCAAGTACTACCATGTGCGCAGTACCATGACCGACTGCAGCCCGTCACCAGCTTCCTTTTGCGCCCCCTTGTCAGCACTGCGAGTGGCCAACATGGACGACCTTTCGGGCAGCGATGCAGAGTTGGATTCCTTTGCGCCAGATACCAAATTTGAAGAAAGCTTTGAGGAATTCAGGCAGTGGGCTACGTCAGTCTGGTCGGACACAGCGCTTGCTCCTCCCGATGGATCTCTTGAATGGGTGACTTCTGCAGCTACCAGCAAGCCGTCGCTGGCAGATCTATCTCTGCTCACTAGCGCGCCAGGGGGCTGGCGCCCTGTGTCTTTAGACACTTGCTTGTGGAAGGCGAAAATTTGGTTCCAGGACCGAGTGTCTTGCATTGTCTTGCACGTTGGGTGCATAGATTTTACTTTTGCTACGCTTTTTCAATCCCACGCAGGCACCCATCAGAGTATCATTGAATAGTTTCATGAGCAAAATCCGACGAAGTTCAATCACTGTAGCGGACACAGTAGCATATCTTGACATCTGTTTTGGCATCCATTGCTGTTTTCACCCCACACTGGCCAAATACAAATATGTGTTGCAGGAGGGGAAGCTTCCGGATGAGGAAGGACAAATTTCAGCATGGCAGCCCAAAGGGGAAGATCGCATGAAGTTCCGGAAAGGCCGGGCATAGTTCTGCATGGGCATGTGGGAACACCGCTCAAGACGCGAGCTTCGCATCAATGTCCTCAACAACGATGTTCCGCAACAAAGAGTTCTATGACGAAAGAGGCCCATCTATTTCTATAATCCAATTAGATCTTCTACCTATCAACTAGTATTAAGACACGACAAAACGCTGTTAAGTGGACGCTACTGCAAGTAGCTTGCAGGCGATCGCTACTAGTGGCAAGAAGCTAGTAGGATGGAGGCCATCATTGTTAGGGTGACAACCATCGCTAGCAGCAACAAAGAAAAATGAAAAATGGCCCAACATTTGCCTTGCAATGTCTTCTGCCTATGCATTACTACACTTGCAGCCTTGCAAACCCTGCTTATTCTGCCCACTCTCCAGCCTGTATACTCGCTTCCGATAATATACGTCTTCAGTGACTTCCATGCTTTCTCACATGATTCACACATTGATGACAAAAAGGGCATTCTTTTTAAAGTCTTTCTGCCTGTTATATACTGACGTCTTTCAACTAGTAACACGAAGCTACTAGTAGCAAGGCCAACGCTCTAAGAAGCATCCCAGGCAGCAGCAGCGCAAGCTTCAGAAGCCATCTTGCGCCGCACGAGCATCAGAGCCAGTGGCACAACAGCTCACCTGCTTGTCAGGACAGTCCCACAGACGCCGTCCCCTGCCTTCTGAGTTTTTTTGTTTTCACCACTGAGGGAAGTAAGAAGGTGTTCTAACTGTGCGTGGCCCCTTGGTGGCAAACCCAGAGCCGAACATTGGATTGGCCTGGCAGCCCAAGAGTTTTTTGAAGCCGGGCCCGATACAGACAGGTGCAATGGCAAGCTTGCTCCACATGTTGTCATGTTTGAGCGGTTGATGTCCCTTGTGCCCGATGATCCTCATCAGCACTTTGCGTTTGGACCCATTAGGTCTAGAAACCAAATTCATCGCAGGGGTAGACCAAGCCTATTGAGTCCGAGCTTGTGAAGACATGATTAAAGTGAATAGTGTTGGGGGGTGAGGAATGCATCTCATGCTTGGGACTGTGCTTGCCCAACCGCAAATTGCCTCCGACGCAAAAGCACTGGCCGCCAACCTAAAAGCAATGTCCTGCCCTCCCTCCCATATCCAGGAGTCTTGCCCCCCTCCCAATCTAGGAGGTGCGTGGGCGTCTACTTCCTGCCAACCCTGGGCCTCCAACCTAAGAGCAATGGCATCCACCCTGAGAGCTATCGCCTCCAACCTAAGAGCAATTGCCTCCAACCAAAAAGAAATTGCTTCCATTCTTTACAAAATAAGCAATTGCCGCCAACGAAAAGAGAGTGCAAATTGGTCAAAACGCTTTTCCAAAGCAAGGCATTTAGACTGGGTAAGCAGCTGCCTGCTTTGGGAGATAACCTGTCAGAAGCATGGATGTTCGAACCCTTAGCAAACACCTTGGCTCCGCCCCGGTTGTTCGTCCGCAGCTTTGGCACCGGCTTTGGCGCCATTGTTTTTTTATCTATATGACATACTGTAGATCACATGAATACATCTATTGTATGCATATCTCAAAGCCTCTGTATGTGTGTGTTTGCATGAAGCTGTTTGTAGCCCTGGATTTTAGGAACTTTCTGGTTTGCTGTTTAGATTCTCCATGGATTCCAGGGATGTATGCGACAGCTTTGGAGGATAGGCTAGGAGTGTGGCAACTGTGTGAAATATTTGGTTGTGTTATTCTTGTATGTATAATCATACAAAGATCATATGAACACATCCTGGAGTCTCCGTAAACCTCCCTCTGCTTGGAGCTGCCCTGTAAACCTTGAGCCCAAGCAGGCAAACAGGGTCAATGAAAGAATCCTGCCAGAACTCAAGCGGGCTAGATCATGGCACCCGATTGCTGTTCCGCGCGGGCGTGTGCGGCTGATTCGCTGCTATTTAGAGTGCATTCATGGTTCTCGACATCGTCCATGTGCACTTCGACTGCCCAGTCTCGCAGAATCTAGGTGTCCGCGGCGGGTGGGGGAACCCCGTAATGCGAGCAATTACACTAAACCAGCACAGCTTGGAAGCTGGTAGAGACATTGGCGTCGGAGTGTTTTTTAGCACTCCATTTGGAGGTTGGCACTCCATGGACTGGGTGATCCTGAACACAGCCAATCGGCTATGACCAGCCCCAGTTTTGGAAGTTGAACATTTGTAAAATAATGATTGTGTGTTGTTCGACCAAGCCAAACCAGGCAGCCAAACTACTTGATTATGGCTGGACAGGTTGTATAATGTGTTCGGATTTCCAAATAAATGGCTCATGTATGCTCATGGTTTGACCACTCATCTCACCCTGCGGTGCGCCGAGTTTGACCTGGAGGTGGGACCACGAGAAGTGCTACGACCCGGACGAAAATGGTTGGCGTCTCTACAAGACTTTCTCACAGTGCCTGGTCAATCAGAATTGTTTGAAGATATCTAAGGAATTCCCCAAGTCTAGTGAATCTACCTGGAACATTTTAAAATCCAAAGTGTCAATCAATTGTGACGGTAGTTTGTGTCAACATATTTTATGGGTCCCTCCTTCGAATGCCAACCTCCAACAGTTCTCACAGGTCTTGAGTTGTTTGAACGACAGCCGACTCGAGATAATCCTGTGGAGTAGTAGGTATGTGCCGAGGTCCCTCCAGTGAGATACCAGCAAGTTGGGCGCATGGAAGTTGGGCGCATGGAAGTTGAGCGCTTTTGGGGAGCAGGAAGTTTGAAGATAGTCTCACGTGCTGGTGGGGTGTTTGAAACTGCCAAACTCCGAAGACCATCAGTGTGTGCCCTGGAGATCTGTATGCTGGGCAAGGTAGTCTGTCCGAACACACAGCCGAACAGCTACCAGCACTCTCCAAGAACGGTGTTGCTGGGCGACAGCTGCCCAGAAACCACCTCTGTGGGCGGTTCTAGTATGTTCCGGTTCTTTCGCGACTCTTCACAGAGCAAATGTCAGAGAAGACAAATGAGGTAGGGCCTGGTAGGGTACCGTGTGACACGGAGCGGAGGTTTATATGATATCCTCGAAGATCCTCCAAGAGTTGGGTGCTTACACTGTCATGCCTTCCAACTGGTTTTCGATGTTTGTTCCTAAGGGTATGGGATGGCCACATTTGGCGTTTGATTGATACCTCAGACAATCCAATTCCTTGTGTGAAGGGAGGTGCCGGCACCTGCCGGCCATCATACGCGAGCTTCTCATGGCACCTTACCGGTCGTGTTCCGAGCTTCACAATTCCTCCTTTCCACCTTCCACATGGGATCTTTGGGGCAGAAATTCTTTCCGCTGCGCCATGGCCCCGCAACGCAGAAAGTCGCGCGCCGCGCAGCCTCCAAGGCACCTCTCCTTCGTGGAGGGCGTGGATCTCTTCGACAACAAGATGCTCCTTTGATCCCTTCGGTGATCGACCGATGAGTTAGGAGGATCCAACAGCAGAATCCACAGCCAACACCAACAGCCATCCGACTTGACTCTTACCAGGATCAGTACGTGGTTAGCATGGATCATCATTTGGCTGCCAAAGATTTATGATTTATAGGCGTTTCAGGAAGTTTTTCGGAAGAGGACTTGGTTTGTTTGGGACTTTCCTTGTGTGTTGAACTACCAAATTTGGAACCTGCATCAGGGTTTGCTTTCACCCTTAAGAGCGGCCAAAAGTATGATTATTAATGAAGAAATCCCCACAAGCTTATAATTCCAAGAGCCACCGTAAGTAAAATGAAATTCTGTAAACCTCATCCTCATATTATAAGCTTGTGGATTTTATGGTCATATAATGCCAATTAATTATGAGAAAATTTCCATACAGAATTAATTGGCATATATCTAATATATTATTCATATGGGTTCACCCTTTCTATTTTAATGACATGTTCTTTTAATTTTAGGGTGAACGCATCTATAACTTATATAAGTTTACTCGTTTTACCTTTAATGATTGCAATGTTTCATTTATATAAAATTGCAAGGTTAATGGCTAGTTCATGTATATTTTTAGGGTAATACCAATTAACTTTTGTTAATAATAAATCACCGTTATAAAATTAATTGGCTAGGTCTTTTATCTTTAGTTCATATCTTTCATTATTTGGATTCACCCTTCATGGCTGTTATTTTTTCCAATGGAATTATCCGGTTGAATCCACCATATATTATTATTGGTATCTTATGTTTTTTGCTTTGGGATTCATTCTCCTTTTTTTTGCATGTCAGATATTTCTTTGTAACCAACAGCAAACATAGAATAATGATACTTGTTTGATTAACAAACAATATTTCATGTTAAAGTAAAAGGCTTTGTTGGATGCCAAAATAATGCATGGGATTTCCTATATATTTTGGCATAGGAGGGGTCAACGTCGGGCAAAATTCTCTGGCGGTCAAGGAATTTTGCCACCTTAGGACCTTTCCCTCGCTTACAGCCGCCATGTCTAGTGCCGGTCTGTGTGTGTGTCGTTCACGAGGTTTGGCATCACGCCAGCAGAGTCGAAGATCATGGACCCTCAACAGCGAGTAGTGCTGGAAGTCGGCTTCTCGGGTCGCAGACCTGGTTTTTTCTTGGGAGGTTTGGTCGCCCTTGACGGACTCCCGGAAGTGCTGTTGCTGTTGCTACGGATTTGAGACGACCACAAATCAGGTCGTTCCCATGTGTTTAAATGGTCGAACTGAAGGCGACTGGGCGACTTGGTCCCACGGGGCGACCGCCGATCTTCGCCGGCGGTTTGACAGACATGCCGTGCCTCCTTCCATGGATCCCAGACACGACTCATGGGACTGCCATATATGCCGCCCGACCCTTGACCCCTCGGCCTGACTGACAGGGGTAGCTGGTCACGTCCTCTCATCAGATCGCAAAGGTTCCTGGCACTGGAGATAAGTGATGGAACGTGCATGCAAAGATATGCAAAGGAACATCCGGAAGGTAGGCTTCAAATTCAAAAAGCCCAAGTGTATTCCATGGATCCACCGATGGTAGGCAGCTGCGAGACCGTTTGGTAGGCTCCGCAGCACCACCCTAGCATTCGTCCACGCATTCGTCGACTCATGGGTCGACTCCTCAATGGTTGGAAGTCGACTCCCAAGATTACCCAACCCAGACGCTCATTGGACCCTCAGTTCGCTAGGGTTTTGACCCTCACAACTAGGGTTTTGGACCTCAAACATGTAGCAGTTGTAGCAGTTGGTTCGGGTCAATGAGCGTCTGGGAAGGGTCATTCTTTAAAGGACCATTCCAGAAACCTCAGGGATTGGTTCAGCCCCGTTTTCGTTCTTCCCCCTCCAATGGTTCGGGGTTAGGTAAACAATCTACGTGGTGAAAGCACCCATTGATACCCATTGGTTGCATGTTCTTGGGACATGTTCCTGACATATACACCTGAAGTCTCAAAGTAAGTACCTCGGAAAATGGGCACGAGGCACAAGTAAATACCTGGTTTATGATTGTTTTAACAGGGCCTCCAGGGCCCCGCAATGGGTCATGTCCCATTGTCGATTGTACTATTGGAGGGTACAGGTATACATAAACATGTGCATGTTTACCTGGTTTTGCTGTCTTGACACGTTTGGCAAAGCTGTTTTGCTCCAGCCTCGACGCTTTGAGGCTATGAGGCTCTCTTCTCCGCCGGGTACAAGATGCCCGGCCAAAGGAGTTGGAGGTTCATCAATCAATGCAATATCAATGGCATTCATAGACCATCGAGAATTTCATCCATTTTATAACCACACATAATAAACTATATATAATTCCTGATGATAGTTTCTGATGGTTTCAGTTTCATGAATTTAATAACATGGGTGTCCTGGCTGGACTGCACCGCTGGTCCGGGATCTCCAGCTAGGACACCCATTGGACGGTCCAGATATACACATAACATCTGTATTTGTATATACCACGGTCCATATGGTACCATGGGTCATGATATAAATATATATATATATTTTTATCCACAGTATCTTTACCAGTGGAAGCGACCCAGTGGAGAAAAGGTTTGGCCACAAACCGGGCTTGCCGGTCTTTGCGCTGGTCTTAAGCATTCCCAGAATGGGTTTTAAGGGAAGATCTACCCCATGATTTCCTGCAGAGTTTCCCTTCCCACACGACCCTGGACCCGCACATATGGAGGGAGTTGGGGTCGCACATCGTTCTTTTTTTGGAACCGGTCGGGCTGTTTTCACGGAGCGTTTCATTTAGACTCAATCCGAAGAAACAAGCTACCGGGAGTTGCAAGTTGGCGGTTTGGCTGGAATGCCATCCAGGTTTCCTTTTTGATTTTCAGTGCCCAAAGGGTGCAACTTGGGCACCCGCCCTGTATCACCCAGGAAGACCATTTATTTCACAAAAGAACGGGAAGGACTTGGTTTTGTAGTCTACTGCCCTTAACAAAGACAATGGTTGTTGTTCGAACCATTAAATGCAATGGGGACCCAGGAATCCCGCATGGAAGATCATTGAAGAAGGAAACAACCAACTACCTAGCTTGCTGGTTGGTGATCTCAGGTATGTGTGTTTTCAACCTTTACTTGGGATGATTGAAACCACTATAACGAATATGTTGTTCCAACGAGTTGAAGCCACTAATCAGCTTGGCTCGTCTGCTCTTGCTTTCTCCATGCGGCATGTATCAATGTTTGGCGTTTGATCACGGTTAGCAATCCAGGTAACCTCAGGATGCTTACGGGTGACCCGTGCTGGCTGGATAGGACAGGCTTCAAACCTATCAGATTATCTCAAATCAGCCAGGAATTGATTTGAGGGGTATTGGGGTCTCAGATGATGATGATGATGATGATGATGATGATGATGATGATGATGGGGGAATTGGGGTTCTCGGATCTCAGATTCTTAGGTTTTGAGGTCCCCAACAGGGGATTGTTTTTGCCCCACCTGGGTGGGAAGAGTGGTTGCAGTGGATTTGACCAAAATGATCTCAGAGACTCCATGGGCCTGACCAATATGATCTGGTTTTGTTTCAGTTAGCGGTCGATGGAGGGTTGTTGTTGGGCCCTAACAGGTCTCAATTGGTGACCTGCGAAGTCAGATGCTGGTAGATATGTCACCTTTTTGGTATCCCAGACAAGGGACTGTCAGATTTACCGATCACTTGGGATGATTTTAGAGGTTCAATGGAAGCCCTATAGGCTTCCAAGGGCCATTGCAGCGTTTGTGTGGCGCACAGCAATCCTCAGGGATGTACGACTGGACCTTCCTGGCACCTGTTCATGCTCTGCTTCCGTGCACTGTGCACACGGTGCGCAGTGTCCTATCTCCATCTACTTGTATCTCCCATTTGACTGGAACACCGGTCGTCCCGTCGACCGTGCCGGGGCTGGAACCGGCTCACCCGGTTCGTTCGGCCGGCGCCGGCTTTGACCGAAGCCCACCCGAACCCAACATCCCAAGGAGTCCGGTGAACCCAACGATTGAGGGGGACCCCCTCATCCATGCGGTACAGCTGGTCTATTTCCGTTCTTCCAGGAGGTCGTTGCCTGGGAGGTCTCCCTCATCTAATACACACCCAATCACACCCACCCAGTTCGCCTCAGGTGGCAGGACTCAACCCCTTCGCGGTCGGCCGGTGAAAATGACCCGAAACCAACGAACGGGTGACATGGAGCCTTCACCAACATGTAGCAGTTGCCAAACGGGGCCGGGTCGCGGCTCTGGGCACTGAAAAGCGCAGGACCCGAGACTCAAGACGGTCGCATCAGTCGATGGTTCTCAGCCGGCGGCACCGGCTGAGGAAGGGTCGCATCATGAACTCTTTGGGTGGCATGTGCCTTGAATCCGGTCTTTGACGTTCAGATTCAGATCTTATATCGGTCCCAACCAGTTCACATTTTAGGGGATCTAGTGACCAACCACTAGAGTCACTAGAGCTTAAGAACCCGGCGTTCCAACATGCACGCCTAGAACCCTTGTTCCTTATACTCGTGCTCGTCCAGAAGAAAGCGGGCCCGGTGGTGGTCCCGGTCCGACCGGGCTGGGGTCGGGACCTCGGGAGTTGGAAGGGTTATGACTTGACTGTTCAAGAAGACACTGTTTTGTCACTTATAGCTAGGCTTATGCCAGGTACAACCATTGCAGACCTATTGAAAACACTCAACTTATGACATGGAAAAACACTTAACGCGTAAACGTGGACCTCTTGAACTGTGTCTTACAGCGTGGAACACGAGACAAACCACAGGGCCCCTGGTTTGGGGTGTCTAATCATAGCCTCTTTAAGAGATGGGGTGTCCATGAATCACCCGGGGCCCCTGGTATGGCTCGAGGAGTGTTTACAGAAGTATACACTAGCTGTCACTTGTCGGTGTTTCAAGTGTTTTTCTGAAATCACCCCTTGTTTCGGGTTCACACCTGCTGAAACGTGTGTGTGTGTGTGTGTGTGTACTGTTCAGCGGACCAAACATGATTTTGAGGTGATCGAAACTGAACTCCTACCCAGCAGTTCAGTGAATCAACTGCAAGTCACCTTCATCGGTGGACTGGTGAAACCAAGTGAAACCCCACTGAACATGAAGAGGTGGCAAGTTCGGTTACCCTTCATATATATATAATATACATATATTTATATATGTATATTATATTTCCCCAAACAGTGTGGTCACACTAGGGGTTCTTACGGTATGGGTTAAGCACCGGTGTCTAATCGGAGGTGTCGCGCGGGCGTGTCCATCCAGATTTCGTGGCAGGTGCAGCCAGCACATTGGAAATGGTAGTGATCTTCGACACGCTCTAATTTCGTGACAGGTGCAGTGAATCGTAAGTTTGGGACATGTGGCTCGTTTGCAGGTTTCGTGGCAGGCGCAGCACTTTGTCAACCTCAAAGTGCAGAGTCTGAGCAGCGGATGATATCGGCTGCGCCCTTATAAATCACCAAGATTTGAGCTCAGACTCAGACTAAGATTTGATTAATTTTTCAGGCATCTGGGACCCCCGCACCGACGGCTCCACCACAGGCGACTTCTGTTTGGGCGATATAATAGCTCTTCCAAGATGTGGAAATATGAAAAAAAAGACAGATGATGAACCAAACTTAAAGACTGTGAACAATATATTTCTCTCAGAATCAACAAAGTACTACAGCAAAATATGCTGAATTAATTTCTGATGCGCAGGCTCCTGCAGAAGCCAAGTTTCCGCCTCCACCTCCGATGCCTGTGACTGTGGTGAAGGATCCGCCTGTGGTGAAGGTGAGACCGGCTTCGGTGTGTGTATAGGTTTTCCTACTCTTCGACTTCGACTTGTTGGTGCAGGCTGGTGCTCCTAAACCACCAGATCATCCGCCGCCGAAGGCATTCTGGTCACCTTGCACAACTTGGCTTGTCTTCAGAATGATTGGCTTCAATTGCGGTTGAACTGATTGGGGCACAGGCGACAGCAGATCCACGTGTGGCCCAGACGCCCAAGGTGCGCCGTGTCTTTTTGTTCTTTTCCAGTGCATGAACGAAGGGAAGCAAGCCATGTTTGTCACGTGTCTTTATCCTGCAGGCCGTTCCGCCAAAAGTCAAATCCAAGCCTCGGCCGGCCCCTCCACCAGTTCCACGGCCCTGGGTTTGGAGTGTCTGAGGCTTCAGGGACTTTGGCCGGACTCTGGAATTCCCGACTTGAGGGAATGTCGGACAGCCTTTTGAGGGATTTGGCGGGCAATGCATTTGAGCAGAGCTGCTTTGCAGCTGTGCTGTGGTGCACCTTGGTCTTCTTTTCGAAGATGCACCACCGCCGGGCGGATATGTTTTAGATTGTTTCTCGTATTCTCTTTCATTCATGATGCGAAGATATGTGAAGCATGGCTTCTTCGTTGAAGGCATCTTCAAGCTTAACCACGAAGAAGGGTGCCGTGATCGACCTTGAGGAGGAGACAGTATAGGGTTTCATGTGGATATGTGTGGATGGTTTCGCTTCGGATTCTTTTGCGTGTTGGATGTGCTGCATCACTTTTGCTCGACTGATTCTTCAAGAAGCGTCGACGTTCAGCTGGGAATCGATATGTGACAACCGAGCGGGCAACTACCTGACACTCGGCTTCAAGTTCTTTCGTATTCTTCTGTGCGTGAGTGAGAGGGAGAGGGAGAGTGAGAGAGTGACAGAGTGAACGTGAGTGTGAGTGAGGGTGAGAGTGAGAAAGTGAGAGTGAGAGAGTGAGAGTGAGAGTGAGGGAGTGAGAGTGAGAGAATGAGCGAGTGAGAGTCTCACACTCTCACTCTCACTCTCACTCACGCACGCCTTCATCACCACCATCACTGCTCTGGACCCCAATGCGTCTAGATCTCTAGACTTTCTGCTGCTACACCTCTAAACCTCACACACACTGTTTGGGGTCTTTTGCCGGGATAATGCTTTTTCCCAGTCATTTTTCAACGGCTACGGAGTCACTTTTTGCGGGGAGAACTTGCTCCAGGACTCCAGGTCTGGTTTTGACCGTTGTGGTGTGGCCGTCGCCCGAGAAGACCATTTAAACACGTGCTTGGCCTGAATCCGGTTTTTTGAAGTCCTTACAAGGTTTTGAGGGACCCAGGGACCCAAGGTGTGTGAGCGTCTGGATAGTTTCAAAGTCCTGCACATAGTTCTTAGACACTGCACAAAAAATGGCCCGGGTTCGAGACGGACCAAACCCAGGTATTTGGGCTACGGTACGGGAAACTCCGACTTTGGCCACCTGGCGCGAACTGGTGTCCCGAAACTCTCGCAGAACGTACGCGTGTCTTCAGAGCGCGTTGATTTCCAGCGGGGAATGGGATAGATGTTGCAGGCAGCTGCTGGCTTTGCGGAGTCTGAATTGATTTGTTATTTGCATGGTCTGGTTGGGATGGAGTCTTTGCTTGGAGCAAGTGAGACCTTTCGTTCGCCCGTGCCCGAGTGTTGAAGTTCCTGATGTCGTACAAGGTTCGACGATTGGTTCGGGTGCTGCGGGAGAACGAACTCAAACAGTAACCCTAAACCCTAAACATATATCCAATCTATGGTTCTTAAAATAGTCGCAGCATCCTCAGTACTACCCTTTTTCAGGGTAGCCTTCAGCCTTCAATTCCACCATTTCAACACTGGTGGACCTGATTTTGTCGTCCAAGGTCCGGAAAACAATGTTTTTTTGGTTTGTAAGACTCGGCATGTGACCGGAATGGGATCTGCTTGGATCCTGCATGACGTTCTTCTGACGGTACTTAACGGTCCGTCAAGTCCCAGGTATCATCAGTCTCTGGGTGTGTAATTATTTCAATTCTGGCCTGTGTTCCTCCCAGGAACATCGAAAAATGGGCCGCCCATCCAGCACCCCATTCGTTCGAAAAAACCATTCGTTCGCGCCGTACCTCTCCCCATGCCATCCCTCCTCCGCCCGTTTGCCGAGGTCACGTCGAGCGCGCGGGCGACAGTGCGGCCGAGGGCTCCTTCGGGGCCACCGGCGGGTCCGCGGCCATCACGGCGAACAGGCACGGTGGCGAGGTGGTGATGGTGATGGAGAGACCTGGTAAAGGTGGTGATGGTCCACCCAAAGGTCACCAGGGCCCAGCGCAGTTCGGTGTCTTTTTTGGGACACCCCGTTCCTCACCTCGAGCTAAATGGCTATTTATAAAGACAGCGAACGAACAGTTGGGGTCCCTGGTACCTTCAGTGTGTGAACTCTTTGGAGTCTTTGTTGGTGGCCTCTTCCCGAGTGACCTCATTCAGGACAGTCACTTTGAAGGTCCTGGTATAGTGACCAGCTGTAGCAACTATAGTGACCGGGCACATTTGGCCATAGACCATAGACCAGACCTAGTTTTGTCCAACTCCTTTTGGTGGATGTGAATGACAGGTGGAGCTCAGAAACCCGCAGTATCCATCTTCCAGAAACCTCGGAAGGTGACCATGGGAGCTCCCCGTGCACCCCGAATGGCAAGGGAAAAGAGAAACCATTCAGTGATGACACTTGAGGAAATGACCTGTTGTTTTGCAGAAATCATTGATATTGGTGAATCCTCGGAGAGTCGGAGAAAATATATAATACATTGATTTCCTCAACCAGGTCATTTCCTCCATCCGGGGCCCAGGTCTTGAAAAACCAATCACAGCCTTATATCCCGGTTACTGGGTGACTCCTGGAAACTGGAAAGGGACTGATGCCGTCCCTACAAGTCCAGTTTGACCCAGTAAAACCTTGTCTTTTATCTCCTTAAGTATTGTTTTTGTATGACCATCTCCAGTATTTCCGGTCAGTTCCTGATTTGTAGGGTGTGACTCCGGGTGTTCCTGGAGCAACTTCGGAGGACAGGTGGAGAGGGGCAATACAGACACTCGCAGCCGATACTCGCCGGGGTTGAGACGGAGACCCCTGAAGGACCCTTCTACAAGGAGTCACCCATACAGGATGCTACAAGGAGTCCTTCAGGGGTCTCCTTCAGGAGTCACAAGGGGTCCTACAAGGAGACCCTTCTATGTCGGTGTTCGAGATGTGTTGAGTCCCATCCGCCATGCCACGTGACGTGACGTGACGTGACAGGGGCACCCCTACGTCTCCGGACCGTTCTCGGCACCCCGTCGACTGTGACTGCAGCTTACAAGTCCTTCACTTCAAGTCCGGCTCGACACTGAAACACCAAGGGGGAAGGGACCGGACCTCTGATGACCCGGGGTTCGGTGGAACGCCGAGCTGTGCTTCGTTGGTGCGGCGCTGGGCGCGTCGTTCGCGCGGGCGAGTCGTTGCGCGGCCGCGCGGTCGCTGGGTTACCCTAAGGTCATCCTGTCAGCCTTTCTCCAATGGGAGGGGGGAACCAGGTACCAGACCCCTCTTGAAGAGGAGAGAGTTCCAAAGCCCCACGGGTCCCGCGTGGAGGGTCCAAGGGTTCCTGGGGCTTATTGGATCCAACCCGTTCGCTAAGGCTTTTGACCCGAAACCAACGCACGGGTGACATGGAGCCTTCACCAACATGTAGCAGTTGCCCAACGGGGTCGGCGGGCTTCGGGTCGCGTCTGGGAGGTATGGATGCAGGGTGGGTCGTTGGCCCCAACCAGGTGGATCGTTGGTGGTGTCCGGACTGACGGACGAGGACCTGTTACGGAGTGTCCCCCTGACTGGGACTGGAAGAGGATCTTCACAGGGAAGAGACAGATGGGCCACTTCTGAAAAGGGCCAACGAACCTGGACTGTAGTACCAAAATGTTTGCCTTATAGATGAAAAGGCAGACATGTTGCATTTTCCAGGACCCTCCTGTCGGGGTGCCCTGTCTGGAAGCCTATAGGTAGTGTGGGGTAGTCTATTGCACACCCCTTGGAGGGTCCAGGTAGCTTTACACTACTTAGTCACTACTTGTTGTTGACCCCCGACAAGTCAACCACCGCAGCCTGATGAGTCGGATTCCATGAGTCGGACGCACGGTGCCGCCCAGCGGGACGACGCCGCGCCGGTCCAGGTTTAGCTTTTGCTTGGGCATGAAGGGTCCCAGCCTGGCCGTGGATGCTGAGGAGAGAAAGCACAGATGAAAGGGGTCCAGGGGTGAAGGGGTGGGAGGTGAGGGGGCGGGAAGTGCATGGAATTGTTCTTTGTTCTTTGTAAAATCTATACCAGGACATCCTGCAGGTGCCGATTGGTGGTAAGGGATGTCCAAAAAAGCTTTTCATATGGGGGGTCTAATATAATCAAGAGAATATGTATAATTATTATATTATATATACTATATATACAGTGCACATTAAATGTGCTTCTGATTTGTTTTTGTTTTTTTGTTTTTGATCGTGGACCAGGGCATGTTGGCCGGCAATTTTGAACCCCCCCCAAACACCACAGTAGAAACCGACCCCATCAACCACTATGGCAACTACAGATATGTTTCACAATACACGTCACATCAATTTGATCCCCTCCAAGCCTCCAATCGCTGTGCTTTTTTGTTTTTTTCTCGGTTGGATGCACCATCGTCCGATTCTGCGACCTCCTCGTGGGGTCGTTAACTCGAGTTCCGACACGATGACACCGGCAGCGCCCCGGTGCCGGGGCGTTCGCCTGGGGGGCCGGGGGTGGATGGTTGGAGAGGTGGGGGGAACCCAAACAAGGGGAGAACCTTAACACCTGGGTCCCAACACCTGGGTCCCAACACAAATGGACAAGGGATGTGTGGGATAAGATGGGATTCAACATGATTCAAGGATTCAACCAGAGATGATTCAACTGTGGGCAGGGTTGCGCAAAGAGATCAAGAAGTGGATTTCGTTGCCACCCCCCAGATGGAACAGTTGCATGCATTTATCCCATTTATGGACCCAGATGATCCCTATAATTGTAGTATAAGTAACAATTCCATATGCTGGATGGTCTGCGACCGGTAACCAGTGATTGGTTTCACAGAATCGCACTGATTTCGTCCGGCTGAGCAGCTTGTCCCAGTCCACCCAGGAGTGAAAAGTTGATCAACCTGCGCCTTCATTGGGGAATCGGGGAAGCCCACTGAACATGAAGAGGTGGACCCTGTTAGGTGAACCGAGCATTTTTTTCAGGAGGTCACTCCACGGCTCGGGGTGCGAGTATTTGAGCCTCGGCCTCCTGGACCAAGCTTGAGTCCAAACCGACCAAGCATCGGTGTTCTCTGGATAGCCCGATGCGCAACACGGGGGGCTCTCCTGGTTGGACGCCCGAAAGCGGCACCGGCGGATGGGCAGGATGCGTCCGGGCTTTTGTCGGTGCACATGGGATGCGTCTTTGCGGCAGAGAAAGGAAGGGTGTTGTTCGATGGGTGCGAAATGGTGCGAGTGATTCTTTGGAGAAAGGGCTGAAGAGTACCGTCTATATGGTGCCCAAGTAATGAATGCTGATGAACCAACATGAAGGGACACTGTATTGCGGCAAGTGAAACTCCACCTTGTGCAGTGTAGAATTCTCCAAGTGTGGCCCAGGAAACCTGTGAACTCATCAGGGACATCAGATTTGTTTTCCACACTCACCCTAGGGCTCCTGGCCCACCTCCGTTTCGATGGGGTGGGTGCCCGGGGGTTTGTGCCCAGAACCTGAGGAGATAGGCCAGGAGCCCTAGGGTCAGATGGTGGGAGCTCTTGCCATGTCTTTTGAGCAAGCTTCATCTCCCGAACCCAAAAGGCGCCTGACTGGCAGAAGACTTTTTGGGGGGCTCCTCTAGCAGTGGACGGCTAGGTGTCCAGTTTGATCATGTCTCGTTGCCCTTCCGGGAGAGGTGCCAATCCCACACGCGACCCATCAAACTGCCAATATGGCCCACATGACTGGTGGTTTTAGATGCTTTTAAATGTAACTCGACAATACGAACATGAGGTCGGTCGGATCAGGTTTTGAGTGAAGGGCGATATCGGCTCGTCGGCTCCTGGTCGCGCCAAGGTGTCCGGTGATTGTTGGTCATCTCTGTCTGAGGTCTCAAAGAAGCACATATCTGGATAGGACAGACCCTTCTTTTCCAGGGAAACTCAGAGAGTCATCTTTGGGTGCACTGGCTGGACTACACAGACCACTACTCTCCAGCCAGGACACCCAGACAGGATTCCAGGATGGTCCATGAAGATCCATGAAGGCTTGTTGTGATCTGTGAATTTCAGGGGCGTTGTGCAATTCACTCTACAACAGGCCTCAGGCAGGGCCTTTCAAGGACAAAACATACAAACTCAAAGAACAAGACAAAGCAAAATTACTTTATATGACTCAAGTGAGCCATGTATTGACAGGCTCTCCTGACCAACAGTGCCTGACATGTGCATTGACACCATGTTCTGACACTTGTTCTGGCATCAAGTCTGTGTGTTCTGACACACATCTATCATAAAGGGTGGGACATGTTCTGGACGGTGTTATGACGTCCTTGCTGGCATATGTTCCGGCATGTGTTTTCGAAAAGAAAAGTCACATGTTCGGACGATGAACAACGAACGGTGAAAGCCGCGGCGGAGAATCGGAAAGCGACCTTCGGCTCAGCACCGACGTCCTCGACCGTGCCTTCCACGACAGCCCTCCGACGCGACGACGCGAGAGAGCTGGAAAGACTGCATCAAATGGGCCGGATTGGATGACGAGGTGCCTTAAAGAGCGTCAGCATGTCGGCCCACCAGGCCAAAGGGGTGGACATGGTGTCCAAGCTGCTCAGGGCAGCGGTTGGCACCTTGACTCCTCAGGACAGTCCCGCAGACGCCAGGGACGGAAGGCACCGCGGCCGCACGGAAGGCCCGTGCACGCGCCTGGGTGCAGGGCATTGTTCGAGACGTGCTGGGGGGATTGCCTTCGCCGTGCTCCATGCCGTGACGTGGAGGAAGTTAAATTCATGGTAACCAGCTGTCAGTTCATGGCAAACAGCTGTCAAGATGTCAACATCATATGGAGCTGATATCATTGAAAATGACAAAAGGGATGGAGGGCATGTTTACAAAACTCTGGTCAGGGTGGAGATCACTCGAAGTCATAACCTGGGTGGAAATCACTCGAAGTCATAACCTGGGTGAAGATCACTCGAAGTCATAACCTGGGTGGAGATCACTCGAAGTCATAACCTGGGTGGAGATCACTGGAAGTCATAACCTGGGTGGAGATCACTCGAGGTCATAACCTGTTCCTAGCTTTCGTAACTTAAAACGTTCAAAACCTTTTGAAACCAAGTTTGAGTTTTTTCAGGTAGAGTTAGAATCCTTGCCGGTGTGCTTTGCTGGCTTTGAGTGAACGTCATGCAATGTTTGGAAGTGAGACCACTTTGACAAAACACACACACACACAATTTAGCACAAGAAGAGCGCAACAAAGTAGAAACGTACACGCGTGCAAATCACGAGCTGTTCCTCAATGGCAATGGCGCCCAACAAGAAGATTCGCTATTGCAGCAACCATGTGGTCAACAATGTGATGCACAATGTTAGCGTCAGCTGGCAAGTAAAAGTTGCGCTGGAAAAAATGGATTTTCAGAAAGAGATTTTGGGCACCTTCACTGCAATGAGACTGGATCGAAAAATACCTGTCACACTGTTGTTTTGATGACAAGATGCCACTGATGAAAACATGCCACGCACTAAGGGCTGCCGTGGCCTCTCGGAGGTCGTTTTCCTATGCGACGCTATGAATACGTGACTTTCCAATGGGACAAGTCATGGCCAGAGCCAAAGCCGTACCAGATGTGGGCTAAGATCGCAGAATTTGACAAAGAGGACAAGTTCGAGCTGGTGATGGCTTACGATTTTGAACGCCAGGATTTGCTGCGTTGGGCCTTTTCACGGCACATTGACGAGACAGAGTCGCAATTGAGTTGGCTAAAAATTATATATATATATATAGATCAACTAACCTTTGAATGACATTTGCCCCAACGTGCCCAGGACACCATCTATGCTGTTGAGGATAAGCCGAATGTGGGGAGGATTGGCCGGGAGTATCGCTGGACAAATCCCTGGACTTCAGCTTTCCTGGAGGAGAAACCTTATCGGACTGATAATGGAGCTTTGGTGGTCACAGTATTTCGGTTGGCGGACTATGACTTCAAGGATGATCTCGAAAAACTGTATTTCCAGACACTTGCTGAAATTCCTAGCTTTGTCATGACTAGTAAATGACCAGATCATCAGATCCTAGCTTTTTCCAAAAGACCTGAGGAATGTTACCTGGGCAGAGGGACTGCCTGATGGACCAGAGCGCAGGGAGCTGTTCAGGACATTGGATCCTGCTTTCTGACAAGCACCCTGACCAATTTCATGTTCAAGACTTCTTGTTTGCATGGTAAGACCCAAGTTGTATCTGACAAAAATGATACCTGGTTGGCTAAGGAGCTTGATTGGCGACCGCTGGATGTTCAAGTTCATTGATCCTTGGTGGCGCCAGATCGCACAGGCCGAACAAGAGCCTTCTTCCGCACAGGCGAAAATCAATTGTACCTCTCAGTTTGACTTTTACTCAGGACGTGTTTTGAGTGGTTCCTCACTTGCTTTCACAGGTTCAGTTCAGGACCATTTTCAGGCTCAAAAGGCAGGCTGAAAGGGCACATGGTTCGCCGTCGTCCAGCCTCTCATAGATCGTCACTGCTGGATTCCGACTCGGAGGACTGAGGAATGGTTGGACAAAGGGATGTATTTGATTGAGAAAAGTGATGTGTTGGTCTGCAGTTGTGACAGTCTAGGACGCTCCAAAGCTGTTCCAAGACGAGTGCGACGAAGATGATGCCCCGGAAACAGATGCAGAATCAGGAAACTAAAGCTGCTGTAGAAACCTTTGTCCTTTTCTGCTTCCTTTTCAGATCAGAACTCTATATATAAATTGCACATAATATGAAGTCAAAACAGAAGCCTCAGCCAAGGACGCAAAGGAGTTCCTGGAGACTATGATGATGATGGGCTCGATGATCCGGATCCAGAGATGGTTCAAAGGATGCCAGAACTGTTGCCCATCGAAAAAAGAAACACCATGTCTTATGACGAGTTCTTTTTTCAAAACAGGGTTCTAATCAAAACCTCCATGACCAAATCTTGAGTTTGAGGCTTTCCACACCATCAAAATTTGTGATGCTGTTTGACTGGGCGACCAAACTACTGGCACGGTTCGAGCACCTTGGATGGTCCAAGTTTGAAGCAGTGTCTGATTCCTTGCAAGCCAAAAACCTAAACAACCCAGGGTCACTCAGTGGTGGAATTCTCAAGGTCTCTCTTCGGAGTCACGAAGGTTGAGCAAAAGTTGAGGGAAGCTAAACTGCGCATGGACTCTTGGTTTACTGGAGCAGATTTTCCACACGCAGCGATGGAGCAACTTCAGGCAGCTGTCAAAAAAAGGAAGCTGGGACGGGACTTTGCAACTTGTGTTCTTTCATTTGTTTGACTTGTTCAACGTATGGAAGGAGTCGTTACCGTTGTTCAACATGACAACGAAAAGGTATGATATTGAGCTTCAGTTTGCTACTGGCCGTGCGTGTGACATAGCGAAGCCTTCTCGGATGCCACTAAGTGATGTCTGCAAGCCTTTTCTTTGCAACCTTTTGGACATTCTTTGTTTTGCATTGGTATCTCATGGTATCTCAAACCCATGGGCTTCAGGTATCTCCAGGCGAACTTTCCTGATCGCTGTGTGTTCAGCAACATCAAGAACTTTGTCTCCAATCCGGATGTCCCACTTGAGAAGATGAGATTGGCCCCATGGCTGTTGGGCAAAAAAGTTATCCAAAATATCCAAAAGTTGGATGCAACATGTGTCTGATTTGCTGTTTCATGTATGACAAACCAGGTTGGAGCCGCTGAATGCTTGACACACAATGGGAAATGCCCTCGCAAGCCTGAACCCAAGTTGAACGAGGACCTTATCAACGTCGAGGGCCCACCGTGTGTTGCATTTTCGTTGACGCTTGACTGATGATGGTGTCGGTAGACTGCAAATACATGTTTGCCCATCAAGGGCAAGCCATCACCAGCAATCTTTGGTAAGGATGGGAAAACAAGAAGGCATGTCGAACCCAGAGAAGCGTGTGGTGCATGACGTTTGGGTAAAGGACAAGCAGCAGGTCAAGCCCCTTGGCCAATCATTGTTGTTTGCGACTTCTTGTTTGTTTCTGTTGTCATTTGTTGTTGCTATTTTGCTTTTGCTTGTCTGAGGCCTGATTGGTTTGTCCACGAGAATGTTGCGGCATACCCAGCGTCTTATTTGGACTCTGCATTTGGGAGGCATTTTGGCATTGAATACACGGCCATCTCTCCACAAAGATTCGGAAAACCGAT